TTTTCCCTATACCCATTTTAAATACTTTATGCAACATCTGCTTTCGGGACTTACAAATATGTCCATGCACTTCTTTCTGACATGTATGCTGGCTGTTGTTGAGCTTTGTTGAAATGCTCATTTGGTAAAAATTCTTGCATTTCTTTGTTAAAATTCATGTAAGTAAATAAAGTATAATCTGCAAAAGCCAGAGATAGCTTTTAGTTGCACAGGAACAGCACTGAATCTCAGTGGCTCATGGCTTCTCTATTTTAAATCATATTCTGCTTAACACTCTTCGGCATGTATCTTGCAGGCGTTTTTTGCTGCTTTCAAAAAGCATGACAAAAGGGAGAATGAAAAAAAAAGCTTTTTCTTTTTTTTTTTTTTTTTGCATTTCTCTAGGTTTAAAATAACAAAGAAAAACTCAACTGAAATACATATGGATGTGTAGTGGGCCTGGCTGGGATAGAGTTAATTTTATTTGTAAAAGCTTGTAGGGTGCTACTTTCTGGATCTGTGATCAAAACAGTGTTGATAGTGCACCAGTGTTAGTACTCGGCAGCGCTTATGCAGTGTCAAGGCATTTTATGCTTCTTGCACTGCCCCACCAGCAACAGGCTGGGGTGTGTGAGAACTGGGAGTGGACACAGCTGGGACAGCCAAGCCCAGCTGACCCAAAGGGATACCCCCTGCCATATGACACTGTACTCAGCATGCAAAGCGGGGGGAAAGGAGGACGAAGGGGGGACATTCAGAGTTATGGTGTTCATCTTCACAAATAACTGTTGTGTATGCAGCTTCAGCTTTGCCTATTAAACTATCTCAACCCATGATTTCCACACTTGCCTTTGATTCTCACTCCCATCCCACTTAGGGTTTGTGGGAGTGAGGGAATAGCTGTGTGGGCATCAGCTACCTACCACGGTTAACCCACAACAGGGCAGAAGCATGTCAAAGGGAAAGTAGATGTTGGGTATTGTCAGCCTCACTAATGAGAACCATCAGTAGGGGGCATGTGGTCAGAGACTGAAATCACATTTCACAGCTGGCTTTGTGTGCTGCAAGGCTGCTTCTTTAGGGCAGCTGAAGAATGTTCAGAAGTTGAGGTAGGAGCATGACAAAAAGAAGCAAGTTGTGGATAAGAGTACAGCTGAGTGTGGTTTGTAGAGGAATTGTCTTGAGCCAAAGGAATATCTAAGTTGTTAGGGTGCTCTTCAAAGAGGTCAGCATGAATGTCTTTACTGTCCTTCCCTTGCCAAGTGAAGGAAACCAATCCAAGGCACTGCAAATGTGTGTCCTTACCTCCTGTAATCCACAGGGCTTTTTGGATGGCAGCCTCATTCTTTGAGAGCAGAGTGCTAATGTGCATGATCAGCTGGTGAGCTCTTGATCATCTTATCAATTCTTTACACCTTGTGTGTTTTTCTGCTGTCTCGTTCCAAGAATTAGATGCAGCATCTCCAAAGGCTATGCCAATGCTCTGGTTATGTTGTTTAAATAAAACACAGTCAAAACTCCTGAGGGTCAGAAATCGTTCCTATTGAAGGTTCCCATGGGATTAATATTGGACCCTTTGTTAGGGCCTGGTCAATGAGGCTATTAGCTTGGTCCAAGAAATTTACTGTCTGTTGCACAGTTGAAAGTCTAATTGCTGATGCTGAATAAGGAGGACTGCCTGGGTAGCGTTATGTTGCTAACTATACTAAGTGAATGCAGTCCCAGGGTGACTGTTTCTAAAATGCATAGTGGAATGAATTACAGCACCACTGAAAGGAATGAATCAGGTAAACCTACTTTGATGGCAAAATGGCTTCAAGTACATGCCTCTTTGGTACTCCAAAAGGCTTCAGTGTATCTGGTGCGTAGGCTGTGATCTTCACTTCTGCTCCACAGGGTATTCACCATTTTGTTGCTTGCTGTGTGTACTCCCTGCGAAGTTTCCTTTCAGGTGCTCTTGTAGTATTGTGCATTAGAAATTCACAAGGAAAATCCAGCAAGCAGTGCTTGAGATTTTCAAATGACAGGCAGATAGCTATTAGCAGTAATCCTCTTTCTGTATTCTCCAAAGAGCTCTTTGACAAGAGTGTGTGCAGGACAGGAAGCACTTGACAGTATTCAGCTCAAATCCTTCCACTGCAAATGAAGGAAACAGAGACCCTCCATCATCCTCAGCATTGGTGCAGACAGCCTGCCCTGGGAGGCAATGTCTCCACAGTTGTATGTGGTGGGGGCCAGTCTCCTGCATCTGCCTAAAAGGCCACCCAGAAGTTATGTGAGCTTGGAGAGCAATAGACACTGAAAGTTATGGTCAGCGCACAAGCCTGCAGCCAAGAGCCCCTGAAACAACACTGAGATGAGCACTGTGTGGGGTTGAATGGGTTTTTTTGATCCCCCCCCCCCCAGCATCCTCATCCCTCTTGTTCCCTTACTTGTGTGTGATGGATGGATGGCAATGAAGTAGCTCTCTTGTCACTGCTAAAAGAAGGGTGATCCCTACTTGATCAGCTGAGTGCTTTCAAGTCCCACAGGGCCCACCTGGAGCTGTTGACAGCCAGAGGAAAAGGGGAGTGGGATTACAGAGGAAGGATGTTCTTAGCTTAAGAAGCTCTGCACCTTTGACTTGGGGGGGGCAGTGTGGGTCAATGCTATTTCTATAGGACCAAGAATAGGTTATCCTGCTGAGGTTGTGTAAGTGGGACTGGCAGGAAGGTTGTGCCTAGGAAATAAGTGATGTAAAGCTTTCTTTCCTAGAAGGAAGGCATCCAGCTGGCATGTCTACGTCTGACCATCAAAGAATCTCTCTTCCAAGGCTGTCTGTGACTTTCGGGTTGCATCTCATGGCTGTAGGAAGGATTACTTATTGTTTAAATGCAGCCCCTCAAAACTAATATGTAGAGTGAGAATTCTCCCTGTTCTGATTTTTGTCCATAATGAGCTTCCCAATGATTCTTAAATTACAAGTTATGTATTTTCTTTAAATTGCATATTGCTTATCTGTACCTTTTATAGATGTAAAAGGGAAGAAGTTGGCCAAGTGGGTTGCTGTGGTGAAAACAAACTTTCTGTGTTGCATATGTATGACTGTGTACTGTGAGCATGCAAATCTGAAGGAGTGCGATTGTACTTCGGCTGATGTCAGTGAAGTTACAAATTATAAACAAAATCAAGATTTGTCTCACTGTGGCCTTCTTTGAATCCGTACTTCCTTGATCTATGGTTGTAGCTGATTTACAGTTAGTGACTCCATAATTCCAGACTTTTCTGCCAAAACCCATCAGCCTTCCCCATGAAGATCTGAGCTTTTATTTGGGAAGGAAATAATTTAGTTAATTTGCTGAATAAGTGTGTGGTAGCGTTTTGTGGGTAAGCCTAAGGGAGAAGATTAAAATCACAAAACACATTTGAACATCAGCTGGCTGTATAAAATACAAGACAATGAAAGTCAAGACAATGACAGCAACAATTTAATAGTTTATTTAAAAATCTCTATCATTTTGCTACAAAACTGCATAGTGATCTGGGCTCTGAAATGCTTGTGTGTATAATGGGTACAATAGCTTTTCTTATACCAAGACTTGGATTTGAACATAAATGGCAACTGGAAGAACATTACTTTGTAGAAAGTCTGAGGATGCTCTTCCCTTGTTTGCTGTCTAATGATCAGTCTAGCTATTTCCACATGTGAACTCTTAATCTTAAATTACATCATTTCAAAGAAATCTGCATTCAACATTTGCATTAAAGGATTGCTTTTAAACAAATTCTAGCAATAACCACACGATAAATTCTGGCTTTCCATACATTCATTACTGTCTGCTCCTGATTGCCCTGCTGGCATTGTATCTCTTGCATGACACAACTGTTGACTAAGGCTTGATGTTTCACACATGGAACTTTGTGAAAGTTTCACCAGACCACACAGCTGATTTGAGGAGCTAGCAGGTTTCATCATCTGCTGCAGGAAGTCAGTTTGAGAAACAAGGTGGAAAGAGACAAGAGGGTTCTGTTTAAAAAAAACAACCAAACAGCAAACCAAACCTACGACAAAACCCCTTCTGTACAGAATTAGCTAGTTAAATTGTTACTTTATGTAAATCCAGTAAGTGGTTATGACCATAAAGTGACCAGAAGCATAGGAACAAGGATGAAGTTGAAAGAATAGACAGGCAGGTCCCAGGAGTGTGAAGATACATCACGTTTGGCATTTCCCTTCTGTTTGGGTTTACATCATGAACTGCTATGTGATCTGATCACTGCGGGTGGACACCATCAATTGATCTTTATCTTGTTCATATTCATAGACCTTTCTGTGAAATATCCCAATTTCAGCCTCAAGGGTGCTGCAAAAACCAGAAGTAGTTTGTTCTGGTGGTCTAGGAAAAGTAGCCCTTCTGAAGGACACAAATAAACTTTCCCTGCTTATAAAATTAAAAAAAGAAAAATGGGGCTTTGAAAAGCTTTAAGGACACAGTCTTTTGTATTTGTCCTGGCTGTGGCCAGGTGACTTGGTACTAAACTGGAGGCATTCTTGAGGTTATCCTGGTAACATAAGATTTGAATTAGTGATGTTTAAGCCTGTTAAAACATAAATTGAGGTTGGGACCGCAACATTGCTTGAAATTGCTAGTAATAACAATGTCTCTGTATCTGTGGAGTCTGTTTAAAGGAGTATGATGAAGGGGGGGTGGTGGTGGTGGTGGTGCTAAATACTCAGTTGCTGCCCCTTTCAGAACATTTGGGTATCTCAAGTTCAGCATGAAGAAATCACAAACAGACAAAAAAACTGCAACCAAAATCTAAAAGAGCTGGTCCTAAAGTATTTAATTTAGGGATCTCAAAACATACCTTTACTGTATGTGGTATTGAGGTCTCTGTGTCCAAAGCAACTCAAGCTCCTAAATTATATTAGTTCATTGATGCGGTCACCTCTCTGTTGCTTTCCTGAAAACTCAAGACTCATGGTATCACACTTTATAATGAAGGAAGACTGAAACTGTTTGGTCTTTTTTTAAGCAAAGTAGGACTTTTACAGAATCCTTTAACTCCAGAAAAGGTAGTAAGAATCTTGAACCACAGGACTTGAGGTAAAATGAATTTTCAGTACTATGTGTATTATATGCTGCCTCATTTTTGACCACAGGGTAAGCATGTTTCATCTGTCTGTGATGGGGAAGTTGAGACAAGATGCAGTGGTGTTATTCTTCCCAGGATCCCAGTATGAGGACAAACCCCAGTATTCCTCACTCTATCCCCATTGCATTGGCCAGTGAACTCTAAAGAGCTCTACTGTGCTTAGCTTCATGATGCTTTTAGTTAACTGCTATCAATCTCTTTGGGGTTTTAGCTTGGTTCTTATGGTGCTTATTGTGGTTTCAACTATCAAGATTCAGAGTGTGTGCAAGTATTATTCTGTAACTGAAAGGTGTTTTCCATTTCCATTTCCATCTTGTTCGTAGTCCTTGAATTAAGTCACCATGGAAAAATGCCAAATAATACACCCTTTTTCTGGCAAATAAATGTAAAAAAACTTGATGCCTCAAGCATATTACATGCTTTGCAGGAAATTCCCAGCCTCTTACAACAAAGAGACAGCCAGGCACCGTATCAGCTTTTCAGAGCAGATCAAAATTGCAGTTACTTGCAGGAATTGTGGAGCTCAATGTCAGAGCTCACCTTTTTGAGTACCATTCACGTGCACCCATTTCTAGATGCCTGGTATCCAAGATGTATTCTGTGGCCACTGTTTGTCTTTGAGGGGCACTATCATACAAACCAGATAGCCATAGCAACTTCAAAATGCTAAGACCTAAAGTAAATTGACAAATACAGATGCACATGTATCTCGAACTGAAGAGCCCAAGCATATAACATGTTACTGAGGTACTATTGCATATTTCATTAGTAACAAGAGCACTTTGTATATTGGAATATTTGAATGTGTTTGAGGTGAAATTCCATCCTACAACAAGGAATTTAGGCATTGGACATCCTGTTATATGAAGACTATTTGATGTGTATTGATACAGTGTGTGCTGATAAGCCTAACTGCATTTTCATGAAAAGTGTTTTATGTGGGATCAGGCTGTGTACAGCAGAATTGCCCTAGACAAAGGGCTGAGCCTAGAAGGCATATTATTAATAGTTACTTGTGTTCTAGCAGAAAGATGTAAATTGCCCAATTCATGTTCTCATATCAATACATTAACCTTCAGTGCTTGTGTCTGGCATGCCAGTAAAGTTATGGGAAATGGGGCTCCCATCTTGAGGTGGTGCAGCATACAGCGAGGACATATATACAACCCCCATGGCAAATTAAGGGGTATTTGGCCTTGTTTGTCTCCATTCTTTTCCTCTTCAGTTACTATGGTCTGAAGAATGGGATTCTCCCAAGGGAGACACAAGGCATTTGTGGTGTACCAGGACCAATCTCCTTTACATAGGCTTCAAACCAAATTAAACTCAGCATCTAAATAGCTATGATCTCAGGGGGTGGGAGAGGTGGGTGGTGGTGGTGGTGGAAATAATCAGAGCCAAATCTGGACTTCCTAATTCAAATCTGAAGGACAGTTTAAAACAATGGTTGTACATGGACTGTGACTGGTACTTAGGATGTGGGCTGCTGGCTCTCTTTTGCTCTTCAGTCACAGTAAGAAAAGCTAGGGGCAGGACTCCTAACCTCATCATAGAATAGCTAGGTTTGGGGGGACCTTAAGGCCATCTAGGTCCAACCTGCCTGCCATGGACAAGGATACCTCACACTAGACCATGTTGCCCAAGGCTTTACCCAACCTGGCCTTGAACACTGCCAGGGATGGAGCATTCACAACTTCCTTGAGCAACCCGTTCCAGTGCCTCACCACCCTCACAGTAAGGAACTTCTTCCTTATATCTAACCTAAACTTCCCCTGTTTAAGTTTAAACCTGTTACCCCTTGTCCTGTCACTGCAGTCCCTAATGAAGAGTCCATCCCCAGCATCCCTTTAGGCCCCCTTCAGAAAAGCTGGCCAAAGGGAAAAGATATTGCACACTCCATGAGTCTGACCAAAAACCCCATAACTGCTTTTAGTGCTTTTATGTCCTCTGGAATTCCTAGAGCAAGTTTTTCTTGCCTTATGGATGAAAGAGGTGCCTGATTGTCCCAGAATGCATTATTTTCCTCAAGTCAAACATTTTGATCAAGATGGAATTAGTTCTCTCTTCTCCTCCTGTTTACCTGTACTGTATTTCATGTGAGGGGGCACCATGGTATCACATAGTGATGCAGGAGCGCAATTTCCTTCCTCCTCCTTAGGATCTGAACACTTCCATTGTATACTTGGATTGCACATTCTCACTTCAAGCTAATTTTTCCCTGCTGCAGCTTTTTCCCTGCCACAGCTTTTTGAAGATACTGGTAAAATTTGGACTTTTAGCATGTCTTGTATAATTGTATCAGATAAATGTGGATCTCCTATAGAGCCTAATGACGTAAAAAATAAACTGTGGAAGCGGTGCCAAGTTCAGTTCATGAACATTAGTTGTTTCAGTGGCAAGAGTTTATGATGGAAACCCTTTGTGGAAGGCTCATGTCACTTGGACACAAATAACTGTAGTGACAGTACAAAATTATCACTGACTTCAACAGGATCAGGATTTAAAGCTTTAGTTTCAAAAAGTGGTTGGGAACTGCTATATACTGGTGTGGTTGGGAACCTAGATTCATAGCTTGAAAACTTAGTTGTGCAATGTAGCAAAAATATTCAGGAAGGCTCTGAAAAGCTTCCCTTCTCACTCCCTTTTTATTCTCACTTGATAGCCTGTGGAGTACTGCCTGTCAGTTACCTGTGTAGGAATGCCTAGAAGTTTGAGACTTCTAGAACTTAAAGCCTGGAAATCATTTTATGGCTCTAAAGCCAGATTCTGCTGTTACTCAATATTTGTGTGGAGCCACAGGTGATTTACGTGTCTTCTGGCCCAAAGATATTGCAATCTAAATTGAACTCTACAAGACAAGATACTAAGGGAGATAACAGCAAGTAAGGAAATGGAGGAGGAATCTGCTGGACAGGTTTATGGGCTGTTTGGGAAGTACCACTTTGTAGCATGTCAAAAACTTTTTGCATTTTTAAAAGTAGGGCAATGATTAGCCTGTTATTATGTGGAACAGCGTTGTGGATTATGGAGCTATAGGAAATAGTCTTAAGGAAGGAGTTGCGTGAAGCCTGTGGGAGCAGATCCATAATAATCAGACTGTATGCTGCAGAAATAAATATCCTATTTCACTAGAAAGCCTAGATTTATTTTTTTCCTCTGTACTGAAATGGAGCAGTGCGCTGCTCAGGAGCACTTGAATCTAACACTCAAAGCACCCCCACACTTGGGTTTTCTCTTCTACTTGCTTTTGAATTCAACCACGAGCTAAAAAAGGACCCTGTTTCCTCCTGCTCCAGAAGCAATTGAAAATAACTGTAGGTCAAAAAAATAATGACAATTTTTTTGTTGTTTACTGGTATTTGTTTCCTTTTCTACCTTCTGCTTTTGAAAAATCTTCTGGCTTTTGAACGACTTTTTTCTTTCTCCCTTTCCCCCCTTAAGCCCTCTGCTGCTTTGCTTCTTTTTACCATATTCTTTACATTAGCTCAGATTTTCTATAGCAATTACAGGCTTTTGCTCTTCCATGTTTTTGGACTGATGTTCTTGAAAGCTCTCACCTCTAGAAATGGCTTTTCTTGAGGAAACTGACAGTCTTATGTTTCTTATTCAGCATACCAGGAATTATCTGCATTGGGCTAACACAAGGCAAGACCAGTCTCTTAAAGCACACACATAGCATTCAATGTTAATGTTGTCTTGTAACTATCTGAAATTTGCATTTTGCACATGTTTCTATTTTATCAAGTATGTACTGTGCCTTGTAATCATGGATGCTTGTGAAGTATCAGTCTTCAGCCAGGGAAACATCTTGGACATTTTTTAATTAAAAAAAATTACTAGTTTAATCTGAAAAAGATGCATGCAGAAATAAAACAAAATAATTACCATAAAAGATGTCTCTAGCCTGGGATCAGCAATGTTTTGGTCAAATTATACTTATAAACAGATCCAAAGAGATTTCCTAAAGCACTGAGCATTGTTGCCCATAGAAGTGGGTGCTTCATCCCTGGCAGTGTTCAAGACCAGGCTGGACAAGGGCCTTAAGCAACCTGATCTAGTGGAAGGTGTCCCTGCCCATGGCAGGGGGGTTGGAATGAGATGATCATTCAGTCCCTTCCAACCCAAACTATTCTGTCATTCTGTGATTTTTTTATTTCTACAACAGGTGTGACTGGGTAACCCCTTCTCTGTTGTTGACACTGATTTGCTCTGACATCTTACTTCTCTTACTCCAGAGTGTGTTCGTCCAGCGTGACATAGGATATTCTCAGCAGCTTGACCCCTTAACAAGGGCATGATGCTCCACAAGTTAAATGGAAAGTTTGGGTAGTTTATCTACTTTGTTCTTATATCAAGGCAAGGCTTAATATGAAATTCTACTGGAGGAAAGGAATATCTTACTGAACTGTCACGTAAAAAAATCAAAATGTAAGAATGTTCCTACTTCATTTTCATAACAAAAAAGTTTATTGCTGACTTGCAGTGGGAGTTTTCCATTACCCTGAAGTAAGTATCAGCATAATACTTTGAAATAATTTTCTGGTTCAGGCAAGTTGGCTTTCCATTATTTACTGGATGATACCGCTTTTCTTATTCACTGTTAAATCCAATTTGGACTTCTGGGCTGAGGGTGCCAATTTTGGCTAATCTGACACATTCATTTTGCTGTACTGCAAAATATACAAAAAAATACGCCCCTGGCCACCCTAGCTGTGCTGGGCTCCATCAGAGATACTGCAGAGCCAGGCTGGCTCTGCTGGGGGATGCAGCCCAGGGTAGGGGAAGGGAAAGGAGGCTGGAGGGAGACAAAGGTGACCTCAAAGCAACTTCATCCACTCTGTTTTCCTGCTGCTCCTGCAGCTTTTGTAGGAAACATGATTCTTTGTGCCCAGTGAATTGGCCCAAAGTAGGCTTGAAATGCATGTGCTATGGCACTTTGTTTGTTAAGCAT